ATTGTAATGCAACCCGTTTTTCTTCCCCTTTTTCTGTCGTTGCACCTCCAATACAAAAAAAGCTCCTAGCTATTAATCCCACAAAGTCAACTCTTGATTTTGAGCAAGCAAATCCTTTTATTTTCAGCCCTTAAGCATGACAGCCAAATTTTCCTTAAGTGGCTCACCAATTTACACTGCCTACCAAAACTTACCACCAATTTGCCAAAAATAATTTTCAAACAATTTGCCAAAAAATAAGCCAATCACAAATTACACTAACATATATGATAAACAAAAAAAATTTTAGAAAACAATTTTTAACATATTTTAATTAAATAAAGTGAAAATATAAAATTAGTGGCATAGAGTAACAAAGTAAAATATAGATAAATTAATTAAGTAAAAAATATTAAGATCGCTTATATTAATTTGTGATAATACGGATTTTAATGGCGGTTTCACTAAATGTGTGTGATGTGGCTTAACTCGTAATTGAAACGAAAATTGTGATTGACATGACATGAACACGATAAAAGTTATCAATATTGTGGTAAGGTTTTATTTTGCTAGTCTTTTTATAAAAAATAAATAAATTGATGAGATTTTGATTAGATTTAATTTGTAAAAAAAAATCACTTGAATTACCCTGCAATAGAAAGTTTCAATTAAAAAATTAAGGTGAAAATAGAAAGGTCGTATAATCTAATTGCTCAAATGTTGGAATCTGAATGGACATTGACTGACTTCCCATGAAAATTTCTCCTCTTCTTTTTGTGATAAACAAAATTCCAATTTCCAGTTTGTTGGCCTGACCTTCTTGTTCCCATTAAAGTAGAGATATGCAAAAGGTGCATTTCTTTGACTATACGACGCAAAAAGTGCTTTATAACTACATCTCAATTATTCACTATTTAGTAGTTACCTTGCTTGACTGCAATTCCATTTGTTTTTAAAGATATTTTATAAACGCATTTTTTTTAAGTTTGAAAAGAGTGAAATATTTTTTTATATTCATTAAATTTTGTTGTTAATTTATTTTGTCGTTTAAATATTTTGCTAATTATGATGGACTTTGTGTTTTCATTTTGTTGCTAAACGGGAAGATTAACTAATAACGATTAGGTTAAGGGTATGGATACTTTCTAAAGTGGAGTGAAATTTAAAATTTGAAAGGACACGTCTTCGATATCGCATTATATATATATATAATAACACTCTTAACTAGTGAAATTTTGCTTGTTTGAGTTTATAAATTTCATTTTAACCTTCTCCTCTAACAATTAGCAATATGGTACAATATTGAGAGGGCTCCCACTGTCATCATTGTGCTTATATTAACATGCCACTATATATTGACTGTTCAAACTTCTTGCTACATACAAAAATACACTACTTAATTTTTTTTTTTTTTTTCAACACGGAATTGAACTCGCAACCTCTCATCTAAACTCTCTGGTATCACTAAATTAAAAGGTCTTAGGGTAAAAAAACCACTTAATTTTAGAAGTATTAAAAATTTATTTACTACACATCTTTTAATTTAATAATTATCTGTAACTATTTCTGTATTTCAATAAGATTAATGCTACTCGATTCCTTTAATTATATATCTTTCACATCCACTGTTGTCTTTTGGTTTACCATGATATTCCCGTCTGTCTTCCTTCTCTTTTTTTTTTTTTTTTTTTTTTTTTTTTGGTGTGTCTGATTCTCTGAAGCTTTAGCATGAAGAGTTTTCCACTTCTTTAAAGCATGTGAAGTAATATCGTGAGTGTGAACATACTAGTATAGATAAAAGAAAAGTGCAATAAGATGTATTGCAAGGGATAGGTTTACAACAGAACAAATAAAAGAAAAGGCTTGCTCCTTAGGGGAAGGAAAAAAAAAAAAAAAAAAAAGAAAAGAAAAGGCTTGCTCCTTAGGGGAAGGAAAAAAAAAAAGTTGTAGAACTAAAGACGGTGTAGGGACTCCGATCAAAACACGGCCATTTCTTCCTCAGTGTTAAGAGCTCATAGATGGAAACAAAGGCGAAAAGCCTAATGAAACGCCTAGAGACAGTGCCAGGACTTCGACCAAAATGCGCCACTTCTTTCACTCTCTAATCTCTAAGGCGGCCTACACAAGCCAATGCATAAGAGTTTTTTATGATAGAATATATCTAATTAAATCAAAATAATAATAAAAAAGCATAAACAAATTTTAATACAAATCTAAAGTTTAGAAAGAGAATCTTACTGGCCTATGTAAAAATCTTATAAATAGATTAAATATAAATTACAATTCGTTAAAATTTGCAGAGTATCCTTGCGTTGTCAACGTACTCCACCTTAAATACTTGTAATTCTTCCCTTGACTTCTCTCTTGTGAAAAGTAAAATATCTTTGAAATTCATGGATGAGAACATGAGGCAGATAGAGTCAGTACTGACCAGTACTTCAAGATATTATACTCGTTCAATACTTTTTTTTTTTTTCCCTTCTTTTTCTTAATTTTACATGATACGCATTTCGTTTCGTCTTCAAAATACAAAACTAAGGAAATGGCTTCCGTTTCCTTTTTTTTTTTTTTTTTTTTTTTTTTTTTTTTTTTTTTTTTTTTTCCCCTCAGTGTCTTCCTTTTTGCGGTTTAGTTGCGTTTGGTTACTGGCTTTTTAAGTTTCTTTGTTCTTACTAAAAACACACTTTTTTTTCTTTTGAATAAATAAAGAGGACTTACTTTAGAGGAGCATAAGGAACACTAGGGACAACTTTATTTTTTTCAAAGTTGTCACACAAACTGCCAGCTATAGATTATGTGTGGGAAAACAAGCATGATGAAGAACGATGCAATAATTTGACCCATAGTTTCCTTTTATTCTTTTTCCTTGTTTCCCTTAAATGTCATAATGTTGTTGGTTATTGACTACACACACACACACACACACACACACACACACATATATATATCTGAATATTAATTGGATCTTAATTTGTTGATCATGTCAAGTTTAATGAAATTTAACACCAAAACCTTGAGTTTTACCGTACCACATAATTCTCAATAAAATCGATGAGTTTGATTTGTGAAAATTTGGCACGATATTCCTTCAGGTAATGTGTTAGAGAATTCTTTAGTATGGTTAAAAAAAAAAAAGAAGGAAGATTTTAAACTCTACGTTTTCATCACGTTTAATTATTTAAGTTCGAGACAATTCTAACCTAATCTAACAATTAGAAATACACAATACGAGGTTAGAGATGAAATTGTGTTACATGATATTTGTTTTTTTTTTTTTTTTTTTTTTTTTTTTTTCTATGGAAGACGTTTGTTTTATAAACTAACAATTAGAAATACAGAATATGAGGATATTGAAATTGCGTAACGTGATATATATATATATATATATATTGTTTTTCTGTCGAAGACATTTGTTTTACATAATTGTTTTAGAGGAAAATCATTTTTTTACATAATAATGAGTCAATGACTTAAAAAGTTTTCCCTCTTGAATCAGTATCATATGTTTTAATCTCAATATTATAATAAATAAATATCAAATACACATGATATCTTCACCGATAAAGCGATAACAATATAGAATCAGTCTTTTAATGGAAGACAAGCCAAAAAGTCTAATTCAATATTTCTTTTCAATTTATAGGGACCTTAATTGAGAGTTTTTCTAGTAAGTCTTAAAAAAATAAACTATTAAAAAATTCTTATTTTCAATCAACAAATGTGTATTAAAATTTATATATTTATATAATTTTTAATTTTATATAATTTTAATCAGATTAATGATCAAAAATTATTTTTTACTGAAAAACTCCCTTATTTATAAGTGTTAATTTTAATTTCTTATTTTTTTGTGTTTCCTGAAAGAGAGAAGACGCACTCAAAAGAAGCGGAAATTCGAGGATTAAGATACCAAATACATGCACCAAACCAAAACCGCAATTTGATTGGCGGAGAAAAAAAGGTATCTTCCTCAGTTCTTCTCCGTATAATATTCCGTAATAACGAAAATATTCTCGGGGTAATTCAGACATTTCATCTAAAATCCTTCTTGAACAAACGGTGGATAAAATACGCGACGCCACGAAAGCGACTTTTTGAAAAAACGACGACCAAACTCGGCGTTTCGCCATTGGCCAATCTGATTTCATTTCACCCTCTCTCTAAACAGAATCTTCTTTCTTGCCTTAAATTTTTCTATTCTATTCCATTTTCCCAAATTTTTTCCCCTCATTTTCTCTCTCACCAAACACCCTTTTCCACTGTATATATACTCGTCTCTAATAATATTTATATCTATAGAGAGAGAGAGAGTCTCCCAAACAGTTTATCATTCTCCTCTTAGCTTCTCCAAGAAATCTATCGACAAAGAAACGAGAAAAGGAAAAAGAAAGATCTGAGGAGAGAAGGATTTTCCGAGAAAATGGGTTCGCTTCCGCCGGAGCTGAGCTTGGATATCACAGCGACGTTTGTTCCGAGGACGATCGGCGATTTCCTCAGGGAGGTTTCGGCGATCGGAAATGCGAGCGAGAGGGCTTCGAAGCTTGACGATTTCGGGAAGAGATTGGAGGACGAAATGAGGAAGATCGACGCCTTCAAACGCGAGCTTCCTCTCTGCATGCTCTTGCTTAATGACGGTTCGTCATCGATTTGGTTTTTTGATTTTTCGTTTTTTGATTTTGTGTGATTGAGAATTTTTAGATTCTGGATATTTATACACACACACACACACACACACATATATATATATATATATCTATATATATTTTGGCTTATCGTGTTTTCATTTTCTCAGCTATTGAAGCTCTGAAGAAAGAATCGTTGCAATGCGCGACGCAGAATGCTCAGCCAGTGCTCGAGGAATTCATACCATTGAAGAAGGACTGCGAAGAGCACGAAGAACTTGACAAGAATATTGATAATAATGAGAAGAAAGATAATGACTGTAATAAAGACAAGAAAAACTGGATGAGCTCTGTTCAGCTTTGGAACACGGATGATGATGATCCAAAGAAAAATTCCAAGACCCAAACTAAGGTGCACAACTAAACTTGTAAACCAAAAACAAGTAATTAAAATTGGAAGCTTGAAATTTACCTCTCCAATTTGAAAAAACATTAGTTGATTCTATTCTATACTTGTTTGTTCTTGCGGTATGTGTCAGATAAATGAAAAAGGTTACCCCTTGGAAACTGAGGATCCATTTCATAAGAGGGCCTTTGTGGCGTTTAAGCCTTACTCTGCTTTTCCTGTGGTGAGGAAGGAAGAGAAGAAAGAGTTTTCTGTTCATGGGCTTTCTTTGCTCACTCCGGGGTTAAAGAATCCCAAGGAGGAATCGGTTTGTGGGGCCCAGAGATCCAACTCTGGAAGAGCTGTTTCGTCTTCTCCTTCAAATGCTCAATCGAATTTACGAACTGGGTCCGCTCAACAACAGTCTGCAAGGAAGCAGAGAAGGTGCTGGTCACCTGAGTTGCACAGGCGATTCGTCAGTGCTTTACAGCAACTTGGTGGCTCACAAGGTCAGACCTTGATCATATATTCATGGTGATGATATTTTCTTAATATTGAATTGAAGTTGGTTTTCAACTTTTTCTTGTTTAATATTGAATTAAGTATGATTGCAAATTGGGATAATTACCCCCAAAAAAAAAAATGCCTCTGTGGTGTGAGGAAATTGATTTGAATCTGGGAAAGAAACTGGAGATTGGGAAATTGAGTATTTTTGCATGATTAAGTAAAGATCCGTGGATTTGGTGAAAGTTCAATGTTGGGGTTGATTGTGTCTGTATTCATAACAGTGACGAATTGTTGTTCTACTGCTGTCTCTCTCTTATTATTACTATTGTTGTTGGTATTATTATTTTAAGTACAAAAATTTCTTCTCTTTTGGTCATTTTGCAGTGGCGACTCCAAAGCAAATTAGGGAACTGATGCAGGTTGATGGCCTGACCAATGATGAAGTGAAGAGTCATTTGCAAGTAGGCCCTTAAACTATCACATTCCTTTTCTCTTTTTGTGTTTCTGGAAAGAGTCAAGTGTAAAAGGGTTTATCTTTGAAAATTTTTTTTGCGAAGCCTTTTTCCAGGCTATACTATTTTAAAGTCCTGCATCACTTTTGAGTTTTGACAAATGAAATTCTGCTCTTAAAAGTTGACTAAAACAGTTTTTTCTTTTTTCTTTTTTTTTTTAATTGATAATCCAGAAATACCGGCTTCACACAAGAAGACTTCCATCAGCCACCTCTGCTCCTGCAAACCAATCTGTTGTCGTTTTGGGGGGTTTGTGGATGAACCAAGATCAGTATGGTGATTCATCAAAGGCTAGTAGTTCTCAGTCTGGTTCACCACAAGGTCCTTTCCAATTAGCTGCAAATGGTGGTGGGAATCCCACTACAGGAGAGGACAGCATGGAAGATGATGAAGAATCTAAATCTGAAGGGTATAGCTGGAAAAGTCACCTCCATAAACAAGGGAAAGTCGATGTATAGAGTTATATATTTCGCCATGAATTTTGCAGATAAAATATATATACATGGGAGGAGTTAAATGAATATAAGAAATAACACAGGAATACATATAAGTAAAGACATTATAAGTCCTGACTAAGAGCGAGAGAGAGAGAGAGAGAGAGAGAGAGAGAGAGGCTATTAATTTTGCAGGTTTAGTTTACTTTCCTTGTATCTTGAAGATGAGTTTCATTTTTTTTTTCTTTTCTTTTGGCGGAATTGGTATAAATACTTCCTCTTAGCAATGACATTTTATTTCTCAACATGCACGAAGCTCACGGTTTCTTTACATTTGGCTTTTTTGTTTTGATAACTTGTGTGTGAAATTGTCAGAACTGTACTGACAATTCATATGCTTCAATTCTAGGGAAAAAGAAAAAAGGTCAAAATGAGACGAGATTATTTTAAGCATTTCAGGTATAATTATTGCCGTTGAAATCAACTCATTGGAATTGCACTCAATTTCTCCTCTGCCTATTGAGATAGCTTTCAGATTTATGAAAGCTCCTTTATCTAATCTTCTTGGAGGGCATGATGAATATGTTGGTGTAACTCTCATGAGGAAAACCATAATTGATGCCCCATGTGGCAATTAGAATGCAGGCATGGATTTTGCAATATTAATTAAAGGAAAATAATGCGTTGAATTCAACACAACATAAAAAATAAAAAATAAAGTTGATTGTAAGATTCACATTATTATTTCCTCTCCTCCTTGGCTTAATGGGTTTCAAGCACCAGAGTGCTTCAAGAAAAATTATGCAAGCTACACATACTGTTCACTCTCATTTTTCAATCATTGAATGATATAAAAAAAAAAAAAAAAAAAAAAAAAAAAAAGGAAAGGATCCCAGCCGTGAAAAAGAACTAACAACTGCCACACAAATGGTGAAAAAATTTCAACGAATAAGATTGTATTTAAGCCTTTTAAGTCTCATTTAAGAGCTAAATTGGGATACATAACATATATTACCTGTTTATTTCATAAATTCAAATTATTTTTTAAACTTTTTTACTAATAATTTTTCTAATAAAAGTTAAATTTCTGTTTAAATTTTTCTATTCATATCTATTAACCAAACGAACCAATATATATACATATATATATATATATATATATATTAAGTTTTCAATGCGAAAACAATGAAGATGAGAGCCTAAAATGCTTTTCCTCACATTTGCTGTTGCCTGGACTGATATGGCTTCTGGGGCAGATGAGATAGATTTTTGGTATTTCTAGGAAATTTATGTAGCTTTTATTAGTGTCGATACTTGGACGATTTCAGATCCTTTGTCCTTCCTATATTCCATATAGAATGAGTCAAATGCAATGGGACACTTGATTAGTTTTAACTTTTCTTGCATGTTATTGCCTTTAGGCTCATGAGTATGGTTTGGAAAAGATTCTCCAAAATAAAGCTACTATTTGTACTTGCTGAAATGAGAGAGAGAGAGAGAGAGAGAGAGAGAGAGTTAAATTAAATGTTGAAATTAGTGAGTGGTAGTCTTTTATCTGTACAAGATATAGGACAAGATCCGGACTTATCTTGGTGAGAATAAAATAAAATAAATTTCTAAAATTCCCTTGTATTTCTTCCAATTATCACATAGGTGATAATTTTTCTTATCTTAACAAAAAGCATACACTACTGAAATTGACATTATCCTCACACACTAACGTCACTAATGCACCCATTTTTGGTTTTCATAACAAAAGAGAATCTGACCAAAATAGAGTATGACATTTGTCCTAATTACTGATTATAATTATAAATTCCATAAATCCAGAAAATGATAATGTCGAATATGGTATAAGGAAAAAGAATGGTTAAGACTTGAGAGCTCTTATAAGGAATATATCTTATTATACAATACTACTTTTTAAAGCAATTTTTGTTTTCATTTTAAGTTTACCAAAACTAAGTCGGCTTGCCCATTTGTTGTCACAACTTTCGGCCATAAAATATGTTTATACGTTAAGACTTTTACTAGAAAAACAAAAGTAGGTAAAAAAAAAAAAAAAAAAAAAATCAGTACATGTGATGTTGCTCTTTTATTTTAGCTAGTATTGTAAAGCAAATTTTTAACAAGAAGTCTTTACGTATTTCTTTTTTCAACTTAATTAGATCATGTTCATCCAAAAAAGAGGGGGGAAAAGGTAAAAAGTCATACAGTCCCCTCGTTATCTAATGGATTGTATTTGTAAACCAATATGGTTATTCTTTACTACTTTAGGAAGAACATTATGATTGAACAAACTAAAATACATGACATGTGTTCTGAAACGTGTAAAAATCAACTTAAAAAAAAATAATGGCCATAACAAGTTTAATCTATTATGGGCTTTTTTTTTTTATTTGGATTTGACCCTATAATGTGGTCTGCAAGTAGGTAATTTGTCCGGTAGTTCAAATTTATAAGATTTTATCCCTTTACCTAACATAGGCATATCCCACTAAGAAAACACAATCAGTTGCCATGTTTATCTGGATGCATGGCAAAACAGTCACTCTCACAAAACAAAATAATGGAGAGAATCTTATAGACAATATTTATAATGAAGGAGCCCACCTTTATGGCCCCATTTCACATGTATATTTAAAATTGGTATTAATTAATTGTTTGGTGACAGAGGTGAGTGAAAATGATGGAATCTCTCATTAACTTCCTCCTCCTAATAAAGGATGTTAATATTGCTATTATTATCCTTATTTCTTGTTTTGAGTTGGTTGATTAGCTTTCAAATCTTGTTTAGGGGTATTCCCTTTCTTTTATTGGTGTCATAGACATAGAGAGCAGAATATATATATATATATATATATATATTTATATATTATATGTATATATATGAAGCAGCTAAGCACATTGGCTTGGAGTCACATGGCAGCAGAAACAAAACATAAGCACTTGGTCCCACCAAGTATAACCATTCCTGTTGAAGATTCCTTCAATTTTAGACCACCACCCACAGGGCACAGACAATGATCCCTTTTGATGGGTAATGCAATCATTTGGAATTATTAAAATGGGAAACTGCATGCAAATTCTAGACAAGCATTTGGTAGAAAGGGCCAAGTGACCAAGAATCTAATTCCATCTTAATTTAAAACTCCTGCTAGTATTTTGTTGCCATATTGAGTTGATAATAAGTTTAGTTACTGTACAATAGTTAGGGACGGTATTATGGAAGAAAGGGACGGATATGCTTCACCTTCATACTTTCTTTCAATACTCTTATCCTCTTTTCTCTATAGTCTATCTATTTACTCGTTAATTAATAATTAAAAGTATTGTTACAATATTATCATAAGTCAAATTAAATTTCATTGAATCAATTACAAAATTCAATAATAAGTACTAATCTCTTTGAAAATAAACCAAAATCTCAAAATCAAATCCAAACTCCAATAATCTCAAAGTTGCTTTATGCACGAATAACTATAGATCGGCTCTCTATAGGAGGAAAAAAAAAAAAGGGCTTGAATTCAATCCCCAATTAGTTGGGCCTTAGGCCTGTAGTCATTTTAAAAGAAAACTTGATGGCATTCAGCTTAGAGAAATTGCAAAAACTGACCCTTAAACACATCTTTTTTGAGTTCTATTCTTCTATTGTGATAAATTACCCCTTTAATAATAATCTATTAAACTATATATAATAATCTATCAAATTACGCTATCACTGGTAATCGGAAACCCGCCATCAGTGGCCAGCGTAATTTATCAAATTATAGATAATAATCTATCAAATTACTTACTCTAAAGGGATAAAATTCAACAGCCCAATGTTGAGACATAAAAATTCTTAATGGTACCATTTTAAGGAATACTTGTCAAAATTAACCTTCAGCTTAGGATTTCTACCCCTCCTATTCGAGTTTCAATTTCTATCATTCCAAATAGGATTTTTGCACAATTGTTAATAATCAACCTCTCAAACTTGCAAATTTTTTACAATGTGTCTCATTTTATTAAAATTTACTTGGATCTTTTGCTAGATTTAAGGTGAAATTTTTCATCGAACGTGGTTTCTTGGCACTAAATTAATACAACCATCTTCAAAATAGGACATATTGCAATAATTTATAAAATGAGGGGACAACTTACTAAAATTAAAAATTCAGTGGACAAATGTGTAAAATACCCTTCGAAAAAACCAGTTAAAGGTCAACAAAACATATTCTACCAAGATTGCCTCTAACAGTCAAACATTATCTATTTGATTATTACTAGTAGTCTATCAGATATCACTAAAATCAACAGTGACCACGCCGTCATAGGTAACCAGTAGCTTAGAATCCAATCACTCAGGAGTAGTCTGGTAGATTCTCATTGGTAATCTTATAGATTATTTTGACTTTCTCATCGAGTATTACTGTTTTTCTCTACCAAAAAGTAATCTACTAGGTTAACACTAGTAATCTAAATAGTGTTTTTTTCCCCTTTTCTTTCAACATCAGTCATCTTTATAAGAAATAGCGAGTCAAAACTCTGATGCGAATAAGCATGCAACTTGCTGCTTCCTACAAAATAAGTCAAACATCAACGTATTGCTAGCACCAACAGTGTTTATAATGTTAGTGTTCCGATTCAAATATATAATGTTATTTTTGACTCTTGTGCTAAATTAGGCTATATGGTGTACTTGACGTATGTCAAATTTTAGCATTTGGTGGTTATTAATTTATATATTCATCTTTCATTTAATCAGTGTATCATTGTTATTTTTAAATGATTAATTTCATAAATGTCCCTTAAATTTTGTACCTTATTTTAACATGTCCTCCTGAATTTTAAAAATGTTTATTTTGCCCTTGAATTATCTACTCTAGTTCAAAATGAACACTAAATTCATAAAACTAATAAAATGAGGATGTAACACTATTTATATTTTGATAAATGTTCCCTAAACTATTAATATTAAATTGTCCCCTGAATATGATGAGAATAGTACATGGTTTGATATAGTTGTGTGCATGCCTATTATTTATATCATTCTAAATAATTAAATGTGATCATGACTTTTTATTTTCTCTTTATTAATTGAATGATAATTATTTATTTCTGAGTGGAGTGGCATAAATAATATTTTTTTACTATCTTGAGTGGTATTTCTGATTTTTTCTCAATTATTATTTTTATGTCAATTACCCCAGATATTTTAAAAGATCGATGGCAAATGAACACAAATAAATAGTTCATAGCGTATTTATAAAATAATATTAATTCAAAAGTGTTTTGAACCACTTTTCATACTTAAAGGACAACTTATTGAACCCTTTTTAAATTTCGAAGGGCGTGTAAATAGATGATATAAAGTTTAAGATACATTTAAGAAATTAATCTTATTTTTTCAAATTATCTTAAAATTAAATGTTGACTTTTATATGGTTGCTAGCATAGCTTAATGGTAATTACACACCTAACTTTACTATAAAGTGAAGAGTTCGAATCCTCTCATTTCTAATTTTAAAAAAAAAAATGTTTACTTTATGAGTTTCAAAGTATAACTCTAATGAAAAGTAGATATAAAATTTAAATAACATTATAGATCGAAGCACAAAATACATATCAAATCCAATGATATTTTTTTTGCTGAGTGTTTATCAACATAGCTGATGTCTAACAGTTCTCTTCCTGATCTTGGACTTTTTAAATATGGAATAATACCTAACGAACAAGGTTTAAATTAGGCCGAGTATCCCTTATAACGTCTACTTTGTTTTTTTTTTTTTTCTGGGAAAATAGACAAATATTTTTTAAGTATATAGGATTGAATTTTATCATTTACTCTTAATTAATATCCTTTTTAGTTAAATAATTATAGTAGTCAAAAGAGATAAATTAAGAGTAAGGAATAAAAATTCAGACTGATACACTCTAAAAGTATGTTTTAAAATTTTCCCTTGTTTTTTTTTCTTTTAAGGATTAAAGTATAATTATTTACCTACAATATAATTTTAAATAAATTGATACTTGATAAATTAATGACCTGGATTAAATAATATTTTAGTCAATCCTGACTCGGTTCTAAGAATATATCTCAATTAATTAATAAATTTTTATGGTTCAACACTCTTACTCCATATAAATTCTCAACAAAAGTCATATTTTCCGATTTGATGAACAAGGCATATATAGAAATGGCATTCTTTTGGGCACGTTTGTAGGGAATTTGAGAGACTAGAGACGAGGTAGCAAAAAGGATGGAAGAAAGAATTCCAACCTCAAAAAATGAAAATAAAAAATAAAAATAAAAGGGGGTCAAAATCGAAGCCACGAGCAACGGTCATGTGTCCGAAACTAGTCCCCCCATTGAGACATAGACGCCCATATTTTGGCGCCAAACGTGGATTTAGCATCACATTACAGTTAGCTAAAGAACATCAGGAGAAAATATATACAGGAAATTGAGTTAGTGAAATCCTTTTCTGAGACAAACAAAGAAAGAAAGATAGATAGAGAGAGAGAGATATATATATATATAGAGAGAGAGAGAGAGAGAGAGAGAGAGAGAGAATGGCACAAGAACAACCCAAGAGGCCCTCCAAAGAAGAAGAGATGATGAAGAAAGAAGAAACAAACAGTGAAAGATTCAGATTCAATGCCCAAGCGCCCGAATTCGTGCCGAGAACGAAAACCCAGATGCCGGTTTCGGGCTATTTCCACCCTTGCTTTCATATTCTTGGAGGGTCTGCTGATTCCCCTGACTGGCTTTTTGTTGAAGACCATGACCCACCTTCTTATTGGATCTCCAATCTCAATATTTCCTTGCCCAACAATTCCTCCAAGAATGCCCTCCCTGATGATCTTCAGCATAAGATCATTAAACAGGTGATGATGGTGTGGATGATATTTTCAATTTCACCCTCTTTTAACCTAACCTTAGCCTTTCCATTCCATCTTCAGTTTTACCTTGGTTTACTTGATCATGTCTTGTGAATGATCATTCACAGGTTTTTTAGCTTCACTTGTGGTTCTTTTTGTCTCATTTTATGTTTAGGCTTAGGTTTGAATTGAGCTTGTTTAGCTATTTGTATTGTGAAGAAAAATGATCTAACCCACCAAAAAAAAAAAAAAAAAAGGTTGTCAGCTGTCACCTAATAAAAACTGCAAAAATTTCAACGGATGACATGGTTTTATAGCCTCGTCCAACAGTTGAAAAACACGAAGCATTTCATCCCAAAAAAGAAAATGACATTATTGTACAAAGTTTGTACAGTGTTGGTAATACCAAATTGAACCTTGAATTTGTACATAAATGTATGCTTTCTTCTTGTCCGTAAAGTTCATTGGATTGATAGTCATTTATATGCTCTAGTTCTCTGTGCACTTTGAAGGGATTGTATGCAACCATTAAATCTACTTTTATAAAAATTGGCTATAATGCATCCATGATCGCATTTATGGGATCATCATTTTCCAACTCTCAATATATTATCAGACGAACATTTTTTTTATAAATCTTAGATAATGTACTTGGATCAATACTACAATATTCCTTATATCTATTAGTATTCCTATATTTTTATTTTTTTTTATCAGCTGTAGAATTTCAAGATAGTCTCTGTATATGAAACAGGTGGAATACCAATTCAGTGACACAAGTCTGCTTGCAAATGAAACTTTGGCCAAACACACAAGTAAAGATCCTCAAGGTTATGGTAAGTACTTATATTGAAAACTTGTATTCAGTTTTTATTTATTTATTTATTTATTTATTTATTACATTACTATTTTTCTCTTGTAAAAAATACTCACATTCAAGCATATTTTGGATTTGTAACAGTTCCTATATCTGTCATTGCTTCCACAAAAAAGATCAAGTCTCTTACCACTAACAACAATGTGCTCGCTCAAGCGCTTCGATCCTCTTCAAAGCTTGTAAGTTGTTAACTTGTTAAATCATATTGGTTGATTAGCTGTTCAATTGCTTGATCTTTGATGATGATGATCACGAGTTTATACTTTTGTTTGGTGATCATTTGTTGAAGGCGGTAAGCAATGACGGGAAGAAAGTTAAACGAAAGCACCCTTTTACGGAGAAAGATAGAGAGGGATTGCAGGTAAAAAGACATGAACGGTCCAAATTCCTAAAGTATTTATTTGGAATTTTATGTTGGTAAAAAGATCCAACTCTTCTTGTTTTGCAGTCTCGTACGGTTGTGGCTGAGAATTTGCCTGAAGATCATTCTCATCAGAATCTCGAGAAAATATTTCGCGTCGCGGGAAGGTTTGATCTTTGACACATCAGCCCTATCTTTTGCTCATCTTAGTAATATCAAATCCTACGTCCAATTCTTAATGTCCCAATTAATAGAATGAATCCAAATTTTAAGATGATATAACATGAATACATTGGTAGGACATGAATTAAGACCCTTAATGTTAAACTTTTGAGAAAACATCTACTTCTAAACCATACTGATTTCAAGTTTTCATCAACAGTGTGAAAACTGTCCGAGTATGCCATCCTCAAGAATCAAATTCTTCTCGTTCTAAAGGCGATTTCTTGGTCAGCAACAAGGTAAAATATCATTTTACAACCCTCTTTTTCTTCTCCAAAGTTTTCAAATAGCAAGATCACTTTAATGAAATGTCTTGCTTACATTTCTCCCTTTTCATTCCCTCTGTTTGATTCTTCAAAGCTCCACGCGCTCGTGGAGTACGACACAACGGAAATGGCTGAGACAGCGGTATGTTAGTTTTAATATAGTTGAGAGTTTCAAACTTTTCTCTATTAGCTTCATCTACATGTGTCAATTATGTACATTTTTCTTTGTTATCTGTTATCCACCAGGTAGAGAAGTTAAATGATGAAAGGAACTGGAGAAAAGGTCTCCGAGTAAGGTTGCTGCTAAGATGCTCGGTATGCAAATTAGTTTCAATTCTATGTCTCTTGAAATATGTCTAAGGAAATCTTTTCTTTTGATATAAGGGAAATGCTGCTCATTACCATCATGCAAATATTTGTGTAGCCAAAATCCGTCTTGAAGAACCGAAGATCGGAATTCGATGGCATCTTAGACGCTGATGATGCACCCCTCACTGAATCTGCAGAAGACGCATTTCATTCAAGCCAAAGAGAATCCATCACTGAGACTAATGTAAGAAGTTCCTTGCGTTAAAAGCCCTGGCTTGCTTTTACATACTCATATATCATCTCACCAAACAACATATTCTCCATTCCAATCTGATGCATTTCATCCAAGATTTGGTTATGCTTTTACACCACCTAAAAGCACTTCTACAACAATTTCGGGCCCATTTTTATGTTTAGTAAACAAGTAGAAATGTAAGTATGGAAGAATTTTTCCCCGTATGCTTTTATAGTTATTTTGATAAACTAACACTATGTTTGGTAGGAGGAAGATATAGAGAGAAGGAGAGTGGTGGAGGAGAGGGTGAATCTATTGTTTGATTAGAGAGAGGAGAGGAGAGAGAGAGTTTTCTTCTGAGCCCATGAATTTGGTCATTCTATTAATGAAAAGATTCAACCAATCCACCTAAATTTAAGTTAGAAATACTATTTTACCCTTCAAAAGAAATTGTGAACAAATAGTATAATGCAAAATATAATAATTAGATAAATAGCTATGATCCATTATTTTAACTATTCTCCCTTTATTAAACAATACAAATGATTATTATAATCCTCTTCATCTTTCATATTATATATTTTCAATTCCTCTAACTTTCTCCATCTTTCATACTCTTCATCTCTCCTGCCAAATAAAATTAGAGTGTAACGGGTGTTTGGGGTTGCTGTAGATTGTTCTATGATTAATTAGCACACTTTTTCTTTAAATGGAAAATGTGTTTGGAAAAGGTTAGATGTTTTAAAGCATCATTTTGAAAATCACCTCGCCTTTAATCTCTTTCCAAAATTGCCATTAATTTTTAAACTTTTATTTCTAGTTCAACTTTTATTACAAGTACTACCTTGGAAAGTAGAAGCATGCTTCTTTAAAAGTATAATGATTCCAAACTGGACTTAAAATTCCGCCGAGAATCTGACATCACAATTGTTTTGTAGGGTGAAGAGAGTTCAACTGGACAGAAGAAGGGATGGGGACGGGTGCGGGGAAAGGCCCAGGGACGGGCTTCGAACCACATTGGACGAGGGCTGCTTGCCCCATCTCCACAATCAAGCAATGGTAACCAGGGTGAAGTGTCTCCCAAACAGAGTCCCAAGGGTCCAAGAATGCCAGATGGAACTAGGGGCTTCACCATGGGAAGAGGAAAGCCATTAAGAACCTAAGATCTAGCACCAATACTACAATTTTTTTTGAGTCAAGGGCCTGCTTGATTTATGAGTTCAAACCAGTGATTTTTTATTTTGATTTTTAAGATTTAAATTTTTTATGAGAAAAAAACACTGTAATAGAATTAAAACTATTAATTTAAATATATAAAATAAACAACCTCAGAGTGTCGGTTCACAACCTTGTTTTGTTTTTTGCATCTTAGTTACTACTTATTAGTAAATATCTCTATCTCTTCGAAGAAGCTTTGGAACAGAATGATTTGTTTTAAGTAGATGCACATTTTAAAAGTTTTGATTAATAATAAGAAATGTAATTGTATAGTTATAAGATACTATAGCATGTCATAGATTATTAAGAGTAAAATCATGAAAATTGTGTCATTTTTTCCGCTTCATCAAATATCGTAAAATTTAGTTGTCTAAATAATGAAATTTGAGTGTTTACGTTTCTCTTTTTCTCTAGGAAATCCATTATATCAAGTGCACTTTTATTCTTATATTTTGTGGTGAACTTTTTCTATTTTACAGAGAGAAACAATCATACAAGAAGTTATTAGCAACTATGACATCAATCTTTAGAATGAGAGAACTAAGTTCGCTGATTCGAGTTGTTAATTTAAGTTGATATGTGACTTTATGTGAGAACTTTTTACTGTAGCAAAAAAGTTAAATGTGATTGTTTTTTAGAGTGTTTTACTGTAGCAAAACTTGAATTTTAAACTCAAATCGGTGCAATGAATAAGCCGAAATCAAACATTTTTGCTTGTGTTGAAATTTACCTTTTGATTCTAAACAAAGAAAAATAAAATTAAATAAAAAAATCGTGACATTCTTTGCCAACATCAACACGAAAACTCGTAGTCCTGCACCAAATTTTAGCATTATATCTTTGTCTTTTTAACTCAACGACAATATAGAATTAGGCCATTTTCAAGTATTCTGTGAGAACAGAAGAGATCTCCTATTTGTTTAGATTAATAATTGCTTAAGAGACTTTGAAATCGAATGGCCTATTAGCTCAGTTGGTTTCGTCGTGCTAATAACGCGAAGGTCGCAGGTTCGAAACCTGCATGGGCCAATCCCTTGTTTTTACCGTGTTCCGCAAACGACAACAATTCCCTGATGATCAACAGAATTTCGGTGTACATATAAGTAAATATATATAATATATATGCGCGTGTATTTCATCTATTCTTTTTCCTCCTTTCTTCTTTCTTTTGCAAGTGGAAGCAGGTGTAGAAATTAAATTACATGGTTAGAATATTGGGTACTCCTTTCCTCCCATATTTGACTAAAATCACATTACGTAGTACTTACACCAGTATATCACACAAATCATTAAATTAAGGGTTTTTTTTTTTTTTTTTTTTTTTTTAGCTTTTTGCTCCTAGTGGGGTTTGTATTTTACAGTAGCTTAATTAGCACTCAAATCTGACATATAAAAAATTCCTCAAATCTGACATATAAAAAATTTTTCCTAGTCGGTTTTTTTTTTTTTTTTTTTTTTGAAAGGATCCTAGTCGGTTTTTGTGTTATAATATATTGCAACATTTAAATTTTTTTTTTTAAGGCATGCCAAGGCTTCTTATTTTCCACTACATTTCCAACCCTTTTTTCCCATCAAGAATGAAGATAATATAATAATTCCATAGACTGCATGGTGTTGATTTGTTGCTTATAGAAATCTCTTTTTAATTTGTCTTTCTTTTCTTTCCAGTATGGTAATCTTTTCTTCTTCAGAGCAATATAGTTATCTAGATGACTTTCAGTACTTATACATCATTGATGCTTGGCATATTCATGTATTCGAAGACGTTGAATTTAGTTCTTGTAATATAAAAACAAGAGAAATCCCTATCTACAATCGTATGATTCGTATCTTCCTTTATTTTCCTTCAAACCCTATTATACTATACTTTTTTAGAAGTAAATGATCACTATGTTTCTTTGCTTTTTTATTTTTTATTTTTTTTTCACAACATATATATACTGAATTACTCTGAACTCTTGTGTTTCGCCTTTTCCACTTCATGACTCAGCATCAACAAGGTTAACTACTACATGCACATAAACTCAAGCCGATTTGCTATCTTAAAGAAATTAAAATTGGTTATATTTTGCATTTTCTTAAAAAGGGTTATATGAGTCAAAGATGGTGTGCAGTGACATAAATCACCTACAATGACGACATTCTCCCGTGGCTTGAATCCCTCGCGAGGTGAAGTGTCAATATTATCTGACTCGAACTCAAAATCTTGTTAACAAAAACGATTAGCTCTATAAATAACCAGTGATATTTGAAATTGTTAGCCAAAGCAATATCAATCTTGGAATTAGAACATCTCATGTTATAGGTTTTAGTTCCCGAGCAGCTCTCGGATTTAGGAATCTATGAGTTAGTCAACAGTAAAGTTAGGGTTTCGTTTGCTTTCCTTATAGCTTGTTGGTTGGCAATTTTATTGTTTGGTGGAGGCTACCATTCGAAGTGCAATCATACTTGTAATATGCCTAAGTGCTGGTAAAACTATCTATTTTAATAAGCCCTTTTTCCAGTGAGAGTTGCACACTTGTACTTCCACTGGTAAAGATTATTGAACTTTATTATGAATGATGGTGGCTTATCCCTACAATTGACTAACTTAGAAGTTGTTTGCATGTCCTTTATAAATATAAATATATATATATATATATATATATATATGTGTGTGTGTGTGTGTGTGACCAAAACCTATGCACCATTGATATGTTTAGTTATTTCTATCACGTGTATGTATATATATTCTTTATATGCAAAATATTCCTTGGCTAAGAAAGATAGTGGATTCCAAGTTGACGAGCAGCATCTATAATAATCGATTATGATGAATTGTAGCTTATATTATATATGCAGAAAACCGCACATTTTATGACGACTAGTGGGTTTTCTTTGTTTTTTCTCTACTCAGTATTCACTTTCTTTTTGGCAGAAAAACAAGGCTAAGATATCTGGAATCCTACTTAAAGAAAGATTTTGAGATCGTACTTAGAATTTGTTAGACTTTGAGGCACACATAATGGTGCATAGTCTAAGAGTTAATGCCTAAATTTTATTAAAAATAAAATCCATGAGGTGTGAAAAGGGATGGTATCCTATTGAAAATATTATAGAATATTTCCTATATCTTAACGAATTGAGTAATCGGTTAACTTACTCTCCAACGAATAATAAGAGAGATACTTTTATATTTTGTGCTTAGTCCCTTTATGATAGGTGTGGCTATAAGTGGCTAGATAGCAATGTTAGAAATGGTGCTCTAAAAGCATGAGATGTAATAGGATATTTATTATTTATTTAATAAAAGAGTTTATTCATTATTTTATGTGCATATATTATTGAATATTTTATGAATATCATTGAAAATTCTATGAATATTTATGTGACCTTAAATATTATATTTAAGTGTTATATGCGAGAGGATAATATTTAAGGATAATAATTAAAACAATGTTCGTAATGAATTTAATTAAAGTTTAGAATCTTTAATTAAAAAATTACTAATACATATCATTCCCATTTAGAATGGAATGGAGTTATCCGCACTGTTAATATGACAGATATTGAATGAGTGTATTACACATAATGAGATTGTATAGAATCGAGACACGCACACAATATGAATTTCTGATGTTTTTCGTTAAGCATAGAAATTCTAATTGAGTCTATCAATGATTATATATAGAACGATCTTAATCCTGAGTTATTAACAGACTCCTATTTATAGATTTGTATTTTTTGATTTGCTCAGTACATATTTCGATATGTTGAAACCTATTTCTTGTATTTTAGAGACATGATGAAGTAGGTAGCCGAGAATGTTAATATACAAGATGAAATCCATTCCTTGTTAAGAAAGACGCAGACAAATAATTCTCTTGAGAATTGATACGATAATTGGATTAGTAGGAGATCCGATTCATAAATTTGTTTTATGAATCACTGTCCATTAGAGAATCAATGGTACTCAATGATAAAGATGTAATTAGAGAGGTTAGCGGATTTCACCTAGCTCTAATTATGAATTATTGATGGAAGATTGATCTATATGTAATGACTATATCAAATGGACTCTTCACATTTTAGAAGTAAATTATATCTATAATTATGAGAGTGCAATTCCAAGTTTATAGTAGAGTAACTTTTAGAATTAATAGAATTAATTAATTAATTAAAGAGTTTTAATTAATTATTAATTTTATTAGAGCTAAGAATTATAGGTCCATGAGTTCTTGCGTCGTCCTTGTAATCTTACAAGACACTAACAACAAAATGAGAATTTTAAAAGTATGTAATTCTAAATAGAAAACTCAAGAATAATTAATTGAGAATTAATTATAAATTAATGTGATTATTTAAATTTGAATTTTTGAAATACACATGTGGAGGAGTCCACATGGTGTACACGCCCAGCACTGTGAGAATCCATCTGGGATTCAGTTGCTTGCTCTCTAAGTTAGCCAATTGACTTATTTGATAAGTTGTCCAATTGGAATTCAAATTAAAATAAGTTTGACTTTAATTAGAATTAGAATTTGAATCAAAATTAGACTGTAAGATAAAGGAGAACTTTTTCTCCTTCATTTTCTGTAATTTGCGCCAACCACAGGGGAATATATATTTGTAGTGGCCAGCCCTATAGGATGAGAGAGAGAGAGAGAGAGAGAGGATTTTGCTTCCAAAATAAAATAAAAGTGGGAAATAATTATCAAGTTTTATCTTGGAGATAAAGTTTTGACTTCTTCTGTGAGTCTGACAGCTACTCTATAAATTGGAGATTGTAGAAAATTAGAGAACACAATTTTTGCTCTCCCTAGCAATTGTGGCCGGTTTTATAAAGTAAGGAAATGGTGCTCGTGGAAAACTTCAATGTTTGAGTGTTAATCTCGTTTTGTTTCAGGTGTGCCCTTAGACGTAGACTCAAGGAATTGACGAGAAAGATTTGGGTATTCTAAACAAGCTTGGAGTGAGGAACGTTCGTGGTCAAAGAACTCAAGTTATCGACCTAATTGTTTGCTAGGTAAATTTAGTCATAAATTAATTTGATTAATTTATTCGTGTATAAATTGATGTATTCTATAGAGTCTCTCAAAAGTGTATTAAAATTTTTGTTATACACTATCCACTAGATATACGCTTCCACATAGAAAATCGTTTTCAAAACTAACAACCAAGACACAAACTAAGAGCATGACAGAAATGTGTTTAATCTCTCTCTCTCTCTCTCTCTCTGAGTCTTCTATAAGTTCTTGAGTCATGGATTATTTGTAGTTGACTCACACCGAAAGCAATCAAGGATATGATGATGAACGTGGTTGTGGAGGATCGTGAGTTGGAGCATGAAGATCACGTTTATAAATTGTGAGGTTATTCCGTGACGAACCCTATATCAAAGTTAAATTGGAGAATCCGATCTGAAACCACCGTCGCTTCGACACATGTAGTTGGTGGTATGCTATCCTTAAGAATTAAACGTTTTCAATTGCTCAAAGCTTCATTATAGTAATGAATATGTAGAACACAATTAATTGATCAATTAATTTGGCCAGAATAAACAATATTCTAAGGAAAGATTTAATAGCTAAGACTATAGCAAAATAACGAGTTGATCTTTTATTTTATTTATTTAATTTTGAATAAATGAGCTCATCTTTTATCTGTATTTAGCATTGCTCTTATCGTTATATATATGTTCTCTTAGAATTCTATATCTGTGGAGAAGTGAGATATGGTTGTCAAATTATAATTCAACATGTGCAGCAATTGGGGAACAATCTGAAGTGTCACAAATAGTTCAATGCGCATGCTTATGGGTTGAAAGTTAAGTTTTGCGCATTAACTTTTTTTTTTTGGCTGCTAAAAAATATTGCCATTAATAACTTAACTTTATGAAAAAAAGGACTCAAACTTTAGTACTATTCAAAGGTTTCTGCACCAATGTATCTAAAGCTATTACTGATTTTGATAGTGTACTAAGAACCTCTCTAATGTAATGTTATAATTTAAGTGCAAAAAACACTCTTTAATATAATATTATTTGTTATGTTAAATTTATCATATATTATACTTTGTGGTAAAGTTCCCACCAAGTATATCATTGAAAATTTGCACTTAATTTTTACTGATTAGTATGGTTACTTTTTTATTTTAATCATTACAACTTTTGCTTAATTTTTTAAATTGTTTTAAAATTATAAATTTACTTTTACAATTATTTAAAAAAGTAGATTTTAGCATTTCAAACTATAGCATTATACATTGAGCATAAATAAAAATAACATATTTTATTATATTATTTAATGTTAAATATACAATTAACAATGGTCTGTTTCAAGTTTGAGGTACCTTGATAATGCAATCACTGTGTACATCGACCCGAAGCAGAGCAAATCAAGTCTCTCTCTAACATACTTTCTCAATCATCACAAAAAATAAGACAAAAGTAACTAAATTGGTGACATCATCCGTACTTAGCTCTCTTATATGATCACTTAACAAAATGAATATTTTAGTTTTATAGTTGCCCATTAGCTAATTCCCAAACCATAATGGTATTGCCACTCAAGAGAATACCCAATGGATTCACTTGGATTTTTCTACTTTGTTTTTGCCTATAAATCGTCACAAAGCTCCCACAAAATGCCATCAGAATCAGCACTTCAGCAATTAGCCTAATCTAATATTCACACTCACTAAGCATGGCTCACAAAACATACTTCAGCTTCCCCAAAATTCCTTTCTATGTGTTCCTGCTTTTCTTTCCCTTTGTTCAAGTGCACCCTGTGGCTTATAGCCAGCTCGATTACCGATTTTACGACTGGTCGTGCCCGCGCTTGCAGATGATTGTTAGGAACAATGTCTGGGCAGCCATTAGAAACGACGCCAGAATTGCTGCATCCCTTCTTCGGTTGCACTTCCATGATTGCATTGTGGATGTAACTTCTCTAATTTTCTTCAACTTTTTATCGACTTTCCATGAATAATATACCTCAAACCCTTTCTAGCTAGTAAGTACTATCATTGCCAAAAGAAATAGATGGAAAAAAAAAATCACATAGCAAATTGATATTATACTAGTTTTGTAATATTAGTTGTCCTATATAATTAATTGGCTTGTGTATAATTGAAAAAGAGAAGAAAAGAGCAAAATGAATAGTTGGGTGCATATTCTCGTTTTAGTTTTATTGGTAAAGAAGTATATAACTGTAAACAAGCAAGCATGAAAACGTTCCGTGATATTTGAGCTATGTTTTCCATGCGGCTTTCTTTACGGTAGAACCCCTTAAATATTTCCACCAGTAGAATTAAATGCTGCTTTTAATCGTTAGATTAAATTTTTAACGGCTAGATCTGCATAAGAAATAATTTTGTGCGTACGTTATAAATTTTTTTAATGTGGATCTGTACAAATCTAACCGTTGAAATTTTAATCTAACAGTTAAAAACAGCGTTTTTGGATTCCGCCGTATAATTTACCTTTTCATATATACATGACATGCATGGATTTAGATGTGAGATATATTTCATGCTACATGCACACCAAATGGCAATATGCTATTAGTTGCCTTCCTAAGTGGAAAATGATGATTAATTTGAGATAGAATTTCATTTTATGCCAAAAAAAAAAAAAAAAAAACATTATTCTTTCAAACAAACGCTACACGACCCGATTGAAATTCTCCTTCCTTTCCATATTTTCCTGACTTAATTTTTCCTCGTAAAAGGTTGGTCTAAAATACCAATACAAGTATAGAATCATAACCTTGAATTAGTTGATAACCATTTTTGGTCCTTGTAGGGATGTGATTCCTCGGTGCTTCTTGATGACACAGAAGATTTCCAAGGCGAAAAGAACGCTTTTCCAAATCGGAATTCACTCCGAGGCTTCGATGTCATCGACAGGATAAAAGCAGATGTTGAAAACTTTTGTGTTCCACAAACTGTTTCATGCACTGATATTCTCACCCTGGCAGCTAGAGAAGCTGTTGGTCTGGTAATTTCCCACCTCTCACTGGTCTAATTTCATTTTTAATCCCCGAACTATAAGTTAGATCCCAATTTATCCATGACTTTTAAAACGTCACATGTTAAGAATTAGACGTCATAATTTTATATAATTGAGAGCAATAAAAACATAAAAAAAGAAATTAAAACGAACACAGAAAATTCGTCTCAATATGAGACTACGTTCTTTCTTAACTGTGGATTCTTCTGCATAAGGCAATAATGGTCACGGTATAATTAGACTCTACAGTTTAGCAGAACGAGTCCTAAATCTATCAAATTATCAAATTAGCAGAACGAGTCCCTTTCTTATCAATTGTTTCCCACCAATTCATGCGTAGTCTTCATGTGTTGTTTTTATTGTCGAGATTTTAACAGTTCAACGAATAAAAAGATTAACTACAAAAAATTTTGATAGATCATAAACCTGTTCTATGGCATTTTAAAAGGAAGGGCCAAAATAAGATTTGACCAATTATGATAGAAAAAAAAAATATTGTTAACGCTAAATATAGAATTAAGCTGAAATTAATGTTTTTTCATAATTTTCTCATGAAAGTCTAATCTTCTGGTTAATTTTAGTCCGGTGGGCCTTTTTGGCCCGTCTTATTAGGGCGACGAGATGGGACAACGGCAAGTCAGCAATCAGCAAATCAGCAAATACCATTTCCATCTGATTCTCTAAAGACCATCACTGCCAAATTCACAGCAAAGGGTCTTGACTTGAAAGATGTTGTTGTCCTCTCAGGTAGTTAGTTCTTCCTCTAATTTTTCTTGACTAACACAATTTTTTCAAGTAAGTTCAAAGCATAAAACTTACATTTGAAAGCAACAAACCACCTCCGAGAAAATCGTGATAAACATCGGGATAAATTTTATCATGACTATTGATTTGCATTCGTTTCAAAATTCCGTGTAAACCATAAAATTAAAATTACTTTTGTTCCTTTAATAAGTTATACTTTAGTTTCGTGACATGTCGCGAAACTGTTTTTTCATGTTGTGTATCAATTTTCTTGTGTAATAAACTAGACTAATCCAATTATTCTATGGCTTTCTTTATACATTAGGAGCACACACCATAGGTTTTGCCCAGTGCTTCACTTTCAAGTCGAGGCTATTCAACTTCAAAGGTTCAGGCAATCCAGACCCATCACTTGATCCTTCTGTCCTCTCAAGCTTGCAATCCACGTGTCCGAACATCGATTCTTCAAATACCAATCTTGCCCCTCTTGATTCCCACAGCACCTTCAGATTTGACAATACCTATTATGGTAATGTCATCAAAAAGACAGGGCTTCTACAATCTGATCAGGCATTATTGGATGACCCAAGGGCAGCTGCATTGGTGAATTCCTATAGCAACAATCCATTTCTCTTCTCTAGAGACTTTGCAGCTTCCATGGTGAAGCTCGTTAATGTTGGAATACTCACAGGGCAAGATGGGGAAATCAGAGAGAAATGTGGCTCTGTCAACTACTAAAGTTTAATGTAGGATCAGCTTCTTGTATCACATGGGAGTATGTAATCTTAGTTACTTTATGGTGTATTGGTGGAGCTATCCTTAATTCTTGTATAGTACTTATAAATAATGCATCCTTGTTTTTGTCCATTTTCATGGTTTTGATTTCTGTTTTGTGGAGTCACATTGCTCCACATATAATGGGTCCATGAAATATTGTCGCTTCTGGTATGTTTTTAGGTAGAAAGATATGGGGACCTACCGGATTAGTTTCTAATCATTTGATGTTGTTAAAATCACATCACATTTAAAAAAATGTAAAATATATAATTTTTTATATAAATTTAACGGTTAAAAATTAAAAAACTACCGATAGTTTATTTTTTTTAATCCAAGCAGAGAAACTCTAAAAAATATATTCTCTAACGTTATTATAAAAGAAGGATCTTTTTATGTCGGGGTCTCATTTCGATAGTGTCTGTTTTTAACTGTTAAATCTGATCAAGATTACATCAAAATAATATATATATATATATATAACAGTTTCTCATATCAAAATATATATATATATATAGTTTTTAATATATATTACAGTTAAAAAGAGATAACTACATGTAGTTTATTTTTTCAAGACCTACTATAAAAATCTTCACAAAATAAACTTGATATGACCTTTTTCTCAATGGGTCCATTTTTCTATAAGATTGTTGATTTTGTATTACCCCAGTTAAATTATTGTTTATTTGGTAAATGATCGTTAAACTTTTCATAATTATTGATAATTTACTAACTAAATTTTTAATTTGATAAATTACTCCTTAAAATCGATTACATCTGTTAAAATTTTAATAAGAATGATATCTTATACGTTATGTGAGCTCGTTTGAAAAACGAAATTGAAATTTTAAACGATAATTAGAGCATGTCATGTGTATGAGAATGTTTCTTTTAAATTTTAACATCATTAATCAATTCAAGAGTATTTTGCATTATTTCACTAAATTCATGGGATAATTTACCACAGCTGGTAAAAATTAACTTACCAACCCGGTCAAAGTTCGAGGAAAATATATTACAAATCTCTTTTTGTTCTCCCTCATAAACCTCAAGGACAAAATATTTCATGTCCTTACATTCGTCGCTAAGAGAGATTTGCTCACTTGACCGAGCATATATGGCACTTCTAAGATCAAGGGATCAAGTGCTTGTGGATTAAGTGTGGTTTTTACATGTTAATCAATTGTAATATGCTAAAGAGATGAGTCATCTACGCACAGCTTTCAGAACGTCTTACAGGTGCCTTGCCAATAGAGACAAGTGATTAAATGCGTGAATATATAGGTGTATTCATCAAAATTCATTGGAGATTTCATTTTTTTATTAAGACAACTCTTAAATGAAATTCAGGTGGAACATTCTATTTTGATTATTAAATTAAGTTTTTAATAATTAGATTTATATATGTGCATATTAAAAATTTACAGCGCGCCGCACAAAATTACTTTCTTTGTAAATCTGACGTTAGAAAAATAATTCAACAGTCAAAATATATTGCCTGTTTAATTTGTTAATTTGAGTTTAAATGTGATTTTATGTGAGAGTATTTTACTGTAATAAAAAAATTAGACGTGACTAATTTTAAAAATTTTTTATTGTAATAAAATTTAAATTTTAATTTCAAATCGATAGAATGAACGAGACCTATTAGTGTTTCATCCATGAGTTTTTAGAGAATTTCACAGTAGAAAAATCCTATTTTTTTCCTAAAAAATTGTATAAAATAAATAAATAAATGAATAAAAGAAAAGCTGATAGATGCCTGACTAACCTATTGTACAACACTGATATCTCTGTCCTTCTCTCTCTCTCTCTCTCTCAAAACACCATTTGCTATCTTTTCCTATCAAACACGGCCTTTTTATTAATTGGATCTGCCAAAACTATTTTCATATGATCATGAACCATCGTTATCATCATCATCGTTGCCAGCATGATCAATCAGCGACACATATACATATATATTCTCTGCTTTCGGATTTGATTCTTCTGCTTTCTGTTGACCATTAAAGCACGTATGCTAGCTTTTTACAACTTTTGAGCACTCAATGTTGTTAACCAATTAAAGTCGTCCACCATGTTTAAAAGGAACTTTAAACATTATATTTAGTAGGGTCGGTAATTTCAGACACGACACGAAAATAATATGAGATAAATAGATTTGAAATGCACGATTATTAATTGAATCGTTAACGGGATGTCACGAATAACACGAAAATAAACAGACTGAATTTGTATCAGCCCGTTTAACACGTTTAATTAAACGTGCCATTATCGGGCCGGAAGGCACGACCCGGACCGGCCCGTTTAATATGCCCAAAATATATATATATTTTTTAGACAAAACCGAAACCCTAAGTCTAAGAAGTGTCTAACAGACTAACACAGTAACACTCAAACTCCTCTCCCCGTGCGGCCGTCCCTGAACTGAATCCCTGCCTCTGTGCCTCAGTTCTCTCTCTCATTCTCTCGAGTCTCATCATCTCACGCCTCACGGTCTCTCAAGTCTCACCGCCGGCCTCACCTGCCTCAGTCCCCAGTCCTCACCCGCTTCAGTCCTCACCGCCTCAGTCCTCACTCCTCACTCGCGCCGTTTCAGGTTCAGCCTTTCACCATTGAGATTGATTTTGGGGGGCGAACGACCATTTGGATTCCGTTTCAGGTAAAGCCCTTAGGAGTTTTCATTTTCTATTTTTTTTTTGTTTTGATTCTTCGATTGTAGTTAGACTTGGCTGGTTGTCACTTTCGATTTTGTTTTGAAAGTTGTTCTTGACTTTGTGGTTAGACTTGGCTGGTTTTCAATTTTTGTTCTCAGGAGTTGTTTGATTTTTGATTCTTCGATTTGTTCTCAGAGTCTCCAACACCGGAAGTGGTGACAAACTCTACATTTCTCCCGGTATGTTCTCCACTTCATTCATATGATTTTTTCATGTTTGATTTTTTTGTTATTCCGGAGAATCCAACCATTGAAAGGGGAAAGCTTCATTGATATATGGTGGAAATTTATGAGTAGTAATTTGGTATTTATTGTTAGTCTATAAATGAAAGGGGAAAACGAACTTATTTGAAAGATTCAAACCCACGAACCGTTAGTTGTTGTGCTTAGGAATAATTACTTCTTGGGTTGTTTTTTTATTTATTTTTTAAGTGTAATTCATTGCAATATGATATTTTGCATATTTCCTTTCTTGTAAAAATGTAAATTTGCCCTAATTCATCATATATGAAATAATTTGCTTGTCCCACCGGCAAGGACAAACCCAAAAGATTTGGTAGGTGTCTTGGAATGTAGTGTTGGCTTGGCTTGGCGCCTTGGCCACTACCTTTTTTTTTTTTTTTTTTTCCTTTGCATAATGATAGTGGTGCTGACTATAAAAAAGCAAGAACAAGTTAGCTTTTTTAAAGTCTAAGCCTAATTTACTAGTGGTTGTCTTTCTTCTTTTCTTTTTAAAGTAATTGACACATGAAGGATGATGAATCTGTATGACATTGTCTCTTTGGACATGTTTCCATAAAATGGTTTCCATAAATGAAAGGGAAAAACAAACTTATTTGCTGAGGAGAAGTGAACATCAAGAACTTTTTCTTTCTTTCTGTTTGTTTTTTTTCCCCTTTTACTTCAAACTTTTTTCTTTTCTCTTGTGCATTGGATATGATTTGGAGATGGATGATTTGCAAGATGGTGTTGGAGTAAATGTAGAGTCAGACAGCTTTACCGCATCCGCTGCTATTATTGGTGATGCACCTATTGCATTGGAGGCGGATGTTGAGCCTGAAGCTAATTCCAAGAATCCGACCACCATTTCTAAACGTAAAAGGAAGCATACTTCTGTTGTTTGGAACCAGTTTGAAAGGCTTCCAATGGGTGCAGATCAGGAGCTAAAAGCCAAATGCAAGGAGTGTGGTGTGGTGTATATGGCTAATAGCAAGAATGGGACTGGAAGCATGCGACGTCACATGCAATCATGTGTACGTAGAGACACGCGTGACGTGGGCCAACTATTGATGTCACAAGACAAAGGGTCTTTAGCGTTGAGTGCAAAAAGGTTTGATGCTGAACACTTTCGTGAATTGATAACAACAGCAATCATTTTGCATGACCTTCCATTCTCCTTTGTTGAATATGAAGCTATTAGGGCGACTTACCAATATTTGCATCCTAAGATAACTTTGTTAACTAGAAATACTTTAAAGGCAGATGTCCAAAAAATGTATTCTCGAGAAAAAGTAGGAATAAAGTCTATTTTGGAGTTGAGCCCTGGTAGAATTTGTTTGACATCTGATTTGTGGACTTCCATAGTTACAGATGGATATTTGTCATTAACTGCCCATTTTATTGATAAAGATTGGGTATTGCAAAAGAGAATTTTGAATTTTTACTTCATGCCATCACCACATACTGGTATTGCATTGTCTAAAAAGCTTTATGCATTATTGTGTGAGTGGGGAATTGAACACAAGGTTTTCACTCTTACTTTGGACAATGCCTCTGCTAATGATGTGTCCGTTGATCTGTTGAAGAATCAGTTGATTAAAAATAATGCACTTATTTCTGATGGTTCTTTTTTCATATTCGTTGTTGTGCACATGTTTTGAACCTTGTAGTGCAAGAGGGGTTGAAAGATATTGATTCAGTGGTTAAAAAGATTCGTGAGAGTGTGAAATATGTAAGAGGGTCCCAAATTAGAAAGAAGAAGTTTTTAGAGTGTGTAAATCTTGTGGGTCTTGATTCTAAGAGAGGTTTGAGGCAAGATGTACCTACAAGATGGAACTCAACATTCCTCATGCTTGACAGTGTCTTGTATTATTGATGAGCATTTTGTCATTTAGAATTGAGTGATTCTAATTACAAGAACTGTCCTAATCCATATGATTGGGAAAAGGCTGAGAAAATTTGTGAATTTTTGGAACCCTTTTATAATATCACTTGTGTCTTTTCGGGATCTAAATACCCCACTGCAAACTTGTACTTTCCAACTGTGTACACAAGTTATTTGTCATTGAAGAAATCTGAGACAAATGAAGATGCATATTTGTCTGCTATGGCAAAAGCAATGCTTACCAAGTTTGAGAAGTATTAGAAAGATTTCAGTTTGATATTGGCAATTGCGATAGTGCTTGATCCTCGTTACAAGTTGAATTGTGTAGACTATGCTTATGGCAATGTTTATGGAATTGAAGGGTCACCTCAATTTTTAGAAGTTAAGAGAAATTTAGAGTTGTTGTTTGCTGAATACTCTAAGGGGAAGGTTTCTACAAGAAATGTTGTGACTTCACTTCCTACTCCTATTGCTAAAAACCCAGCACAAAAGTTTTTACAGAGGCAAACCAAAGTATTGAAGGTAACTATGTTTATGAATATTTATATGTTGATTTTGTTAATTTAACATTCATTGATGAATACTAATTGTTCTTTATTTGTCTTTTTCATCTTGTTTTATATCTTTGTGGTTATAGGAGTTCAACAACTTTGAAAGCCAAGAGCAAACTGTTATGCAGAAATCAGAGTTAGAAGTTTATTTGGATGAGCCAAGAGTACAAGGGAGTGTTGAGTTGGATGTTCTTGAATTTTGGAAAGGAAATCAGTTTCGTTATCCGGAGCTTTCTTACATGGCTCGTGATATCCTAAGTATCCCAATATCTACTATAGCATCTGAATCTGCCTTTAGTGTTGGAGGACGAGTATTGGATCAATATAGGAGTTCACTTAACCCTGCCGTAGTTGAGGCATTGGTGTGTACTAGGGATTGGCTATTTGGAGATAAAGGTATATTTGTTTTTTTTTTCTTTTTTCTTTTTTGTTTATTTACTGTCTTAGCTTATGTTATCTTCAGTCTTAACCATATAAGTTATCTATTTTGTGTAGAAAATAACAAATCGATTCGTGAAGCTATGGATGATACTGAAGATGTTTTTAGTTTGGATATCAATGAGCCTACTACTGGTTCATCTCAAAATTCTCACAACCTCAACACCTCAAATGCAATGGAAGGTAACAAGAATTTCCTTGTGGCATGCCTAAGCTTTAAATTTCATTTCATTAATAAAATGTTTTCTTTTTCCATGAATAGGTTAAAGCAACTGGAAGAAGAGGTTGATCAGCGAGGAGGTCTCCAAGGTCTTGGGATTGCTCAAGGGATGCACTTTTTTTTGACCTTGTATTTGGTCGCCCAGAAAGTCATTTTCTTTTTGGGAAATTCTGATTTTGGTTGTTATTGACTGATTTGTAGTTTTCTTCTGTGAATGGATGACGGGAAAATGTCTTTATTTAAGCGGTTATAATGGTTTTGTCTATGGAACAGTTTGTGCAAGTAGTAATGCAACTGACTTCTTGTAGTTGGGGTTAAGATTTGTGTTACTTGCATATATTTTGTATTGGTCTCACTTGGGAGATGTAAAAGAAGGTGATGATAATGGAACAGTTTGTGCAAGTAGTAATGCAACTGAATTCTTGTAGTTGGACTTGGGGTTAAGATTTGTGTTACTTGCATACATTTTGTATTGGTATCACTTGAGAGATGTAAAAGAAGGTGATGATAATGGAACTTACATTTAAATATATTTTCATGAAACATTATTTTCAATTTCATCGTTTTTTTCCCTACCAATTATACTGTTTTAAAATTTCTTGAACAATATTAGTTTGACGGGTCATAAACGTGTTTTATTCGTGTTGGCCCGTCACGGCACGTTTAATAATTGTGTTCGCGTGTCGTGTCGTGTTAATCGTGTTATTAACGGTTCGTGTTCGTGTTTGGGTTTTTGACACGTTTATTAATCGTGTCATGTTCGTGCTCACTGTAATCGTGTCGGGCCGTAATCGTGTCAGCCCAAACATGGCCCACAAACACGAATCGCTAGCCCTAATACCTAGTACCCTTGCGACAAATATCATAACGTTCATGTAAAAACATTATGAATAATGTCATAAAAAATAGTATGATCGAAACTTATATCCAACAATAATTTAGATCTAAACTCTCTTCAGAACAGTCAAGGTGGTAAAACACATCCCTATAGCTAATAAGCACCAGAAAAATACACTCGAGCATAAATTGAATACAAAGGCAAAACAAGATAGATTACATCCTTCGACAAAATTTTCTACATTCAAGGAAGATGGCAATAAATTCACTATTAACTATAAAATTACATACTCAACAAATTTTTTCTACCTTTTTATCCAAAACTTCTTAAAAATTTTGTCTGTAATCACTTCTTACTTGTTAGGATTTTATTAGTTGGCATATTTTAAAGTTGGGTTGTACAAAATTCAAAAACAGGGTCAAGTTCATTTTTGGCGTTTATGAACAGCTATGGAAACTCTATTTCAGGCGGTTTGCACCAGATTTTGAATGATTTTCCACCATAGAAGAAAATCATCTATGGAGCTGATTAGTTTGACTTTTGGTGGCTATTTGATGAGACTGTTTTGGAAAGAATCCGTTAAGGAGAAGTTGCTTTGTTTAGGGTGATTTTGGTGGGAGAATAGATTGGTCTATTGACCAATTTGAGTTGTATATAATTAGTATGTAGCCATGAACGTGAGGCAGTGCTTTTGAATGAAATCTTCTGCAGCAAAAGGCTGTTTTGATGCTCTTTGAGTGAAAAAAAAAACAAAAGGTGGTTCTTTGGGAGAAGAACGTATTACTTTCGTGAGAAAGTTTTTGAAGACGAGTAGTGCTCGCTAAACAAGGCCACTAAGAGGATTCTCTATAGCGGCGACAACATCAAGGAAGGAGTCTTTGAGTGTGCAAGACTAATTGGTGTTTGTAATCTCTTTATCTTAGTGGATTGTTCACTGCCTGGGCGTGGCCCCGTAGATGTAGGTGTGCACTCCGAACTACGATATCAATTCCATAAGTCTTTTATATTTCTGTTGATCATTCTACACTTATAATTTGCTACTGTTGAATCAAAGAAAAAATATATCCATCTACACGTATCTGTTATCAGTGTTACAAGTTATTGTTGGGAATGGTGTCCTAGAAGCATAAGATGTAATATGATATTTATTATTTATTAATAAAAGAGTTTATTCATCATTTTATGTGTATATATATTTGTGAATATTTTGTGAATATCAATGAAAATTCTGTGATTATTTATGTAACCTTAAACATTGTATATAAGTGTTATATACGAGAGGATAATGTTTAAGGATAATAATCAAAAAATAATGTTCATAATGAATTTCATTAAAGTTCAGAATCTTTAATTAAAACATTATTAATACATGTCATTCCAATTTAGAATGAAACGGTGTTATCTGCACTGTTAATATGGTGAGATATTGAATGAGTGTATTTCGCATAATGAGATTATGTGAAACAAGGACACAGACACAATATGAAGGGCGGTCATATCCACAGAGAGATAACAAAATAACAAGAAAGATAAGCAAAATAAGAGCGTAAGAGAAAGATAAATAACAAGTGAATTAAAAAAAAAGAAGAGTTTTTGAGATTTTGTTGGAAATAAAATAAAATGGAGGAAATTTGTGTGACGAAAATTTAATAGTAAAAACGGTAAGGTTACGAGAATCCCTAATGTCTCGTTCACCAATTCCAGTTTTGATTCACAAAATAAAGAATCGAATAAATTAAATCTCTATGTTGACTCCAAAAATATTATTATTACAAGTTATCTAAAATCGACAATTTATCAATTTGACAATATTGCAGTAAAAGACAATTTGTAAAATAATTTAAATAATAAAACAATGCGTGACATAATTACATAAGAAAAGTGTGACTGAACTTATATAAAAATTGGCACACAATATTTTGAAAAGTAATAGAAAAATAGATGAGATTTAATTCATTCAGATATTGAACTTTACAGTACAAGGAATTAAAACCCCGAATCGGGTCACTCAACACAAGTTCATCTCTAACCTCACCAAGAGAACTCTAGCCTAGCTTGCAAAACATTCTCACAAGTTCTAGAGAGAAAACATGAGACTGACAGTAAGACGACAAAAAACTGAATATTAAAAGCTTCCAAAAACCTTAGGCTAACCCCTCTATTTATAGTGTTCAGAGGTTGCCTGTCAAATAAGGAAACAAACAATAAAAATAGAAAATTATAAAAAAAAGGGAAATAACTAAAATTACACATAAATTAAGACAAATCATATATTTGATTTGGGAAAGAAATCTGGCAACTTGCTCTGATTTTTGAGGAAGAAATTTGGATTCAGCCTTCATCTGGACACGTGTCAAAGCTCAGTTAGAGGAGAGGAATAAGGCTGCCATGTGTCGCGCGCGGAGTGGAGGAAGGGCGCTGGCATTGGAGATAGCTGGAACCCGCGGAAGCCAGCTGTCACGCACGGAGAATAGGGCAGGCTGGCATCGCAGATGCGGGACCACGCCGAAGAGAGCTTGGACGCGCTGAAGATCGCGCTAAGGAAGAACGCGCGCTCTGGGATGTTTACGTGCTGGTGACGCGCGCGAGGTGGAGTGGGGAAGGCAAGCGAGGTGGGGCCCACGGGGAAATCAGCTTGTGGCTTCGGCTCACGTGGCTCTTCTATCTTTTTGGCTTGTGAGGCTCGGCTTAGTGGCTTGGCTCCGAGTGGTTGAAAACATGACTTTCATGGCTTATTTTTGTGTAGCTTTTTACACTGCTTTTTATCTGTAAATAATTAAGCAAAAACTAGACAAATTCCAATTAAAAATATTATGAATAAAAATAATGGAATTGCTTAATTAAAGCTTAAATATTTTAATATTATATAAATCAAAAGCAGTATTTAAGGTGCATTTTCATGCACTAATCACAACCCCCAAGCAGCTTATTGCTAGTCTCTAGCAATCCAAGCGCAAGAGAAATCATGTCGCAAAGAAAATCTAAGCCTCAACTAGCTTAGTGACCTTAGTATTTCAAACAAACTGTCAGTAAGAAGTCAAAATATACTATCAAGATTATTTCAGTCATAACTCTAGAGTCGTGTGTGTGTGCTCCAAACCATAACCTTCTTGCCACTGACCATACATATACAGCTTTGAAAAATTCACCAAGTAGAAGTCTCAACTCCATTGATCTCACGG